TCATTGTCAAGAAACAAAAGAGCTGTGGATCTTCTGCTAGAAGCTTTAGCAAAACAGTCCCTTGATATAACTATGAAGCAAGATTTATCCAGGGCCATTTCTCTTGAGGCTTTTCCTGAGCCAATATGAAGGTATCAGGATGCTATACAAGAACCATGGCTTGGTCTCTGAGAAGTGGCTGAGCAGCACCAGGCATTGACTGTGAGGACAGATGATGTTTCTGCGCTGAGCTGGAGCCAGAGCTGAGTCTCTCATATATGGAAGATTTCTCTCCCTCCTCCCAAGTGTGCACCAGTGTCCTAACACAGCTGTTTGCTGCCTGAGAAGATGCCTGCCTGGTTGTTTGGGGCAGGAGCTACTGCTACTGCTGATTGGGAGCACAACTTGGTGAGGTTGAAATCTTGTCATGACTGATGTTGCCAAGATGTGGGTGCCTTAGGATTTCTCAGCAATCCTTCCTCCTCCTCCTTGAAGCTTCCCCCAACATAGTGCCATTAGAAGCCACAAGAGGCCTTTTGCCTCCTAGTGATTCCGGAGCAAAGACGATGGACTACTTTCTAATTCTTTTGGGTCTAGTCTGTTTTATTGAGTGGCTTCCAGTGTGAGTGAGAAAACTTTGTTTCCTCCTACCTATCCCCTGCTGAGGTTTGGTGAAGAACTGGTCTGTTTGTGGAGCTGGCATATCTGGCTACCCTTTGGCCTGTTCGGTTAGTGGAAATACCTTCTCATATCTCTAACATGTTGAGAGATGCCCTTGGCTTGATTTTTCTAATTAAGACCTCCAGGCTTGTCTCTCTTGGGCAGGAAATGAATATATACAGATGTTCTATCAGCCTCCAGAGAGCTCATTAATCAGCTGTGGGTTTTCTGGCTTTAATGAGATCTGGAGGCCCACTTTAGTGGTTACTGCCTAGAAGGTCAGAAGAGTCAGCTTCAACCAGGTGCCCCAGTGTACTTGGTAAATTGGTAGTGCTGCAGAGGAATAGGTTTTAATTAAATATTCTCTCTGCATTGGGATCCTGGATACATACAGGACATAGACATCACCACTGCCACGGACTTAGTGCCATCGTGATGCCAACAGGGTCTTAGCCTTAATTCATAGGCTCTTGTGTGCCTCTTGTCTTGTTCTCACCTTCCTGGTATGCCTGTTACACCCAAGAAGCAGAAAGGGCTGTGGGGTTTTGGTGTTGCTAAGCAGTGAAGACAAGCCCTTTTATAAAGAAACAAATTTATTCCCTCTCCTGGCCTTTCAGTGGTGCCGGCTGAGCCCTGTCCCTTGGCAGCAGACAGTTGACGTGAGCAAAATCACCCAGACTCCTAAAGGGTCTTGCAGGATTGTGGCGGGGTTTAGTTCACAGAGCAGAAATCTTGGACTGGCGATAAAGGTTAAAAGTTAACTAAAAGTTAAAATTCAGAGCAAGTCAATCTGAAACTCGCCCATCAACATCAGCCCCGTGAAATAATCCTTAACTAATGCAGAAAAAGAGGTAGAGGAACTGAGGTGTATCCTTGGTTCCACAGCAGTAGGAAAGAGGGGAAGGAAATCTAAATTATTGTGTAATGATCTAAAGGAGAAATTTCTAAATTATTTCTTGTTTTATAATCAAGTTCCTGACAAGTATTGACTACTAACTAAGAGGAAAATATTGAGCATGTTGCTTGAAGCAATATCTCTGGTTTCTTAACCATATCTTCATAGCTGTCTTCGCCCATTCCCTTCAAATACATTGTACAGGGTTGGGAGAGGCCAGGAAGAATGAGATATAAACAGTAAGTTGGCTTGTGTCCATTGAGTTGTTTTATACTTTTACTCTGTGTAGTAATATTCACTGCTTTTTTTTTTAACCCAGTTTAAGTTGCTGGCCAATAGAAAAATAAAGCTTAAGATTCTGTATTTACTCTGTGTTGCAAAATTGAAGGGGTACTGTGAGCCGGATGGGTTATATGGATTCCTCAGATCCTGCTGCTGAGGAGCCAGTGCCTCAGGAAGAAACTGGTCTGAGGGACCAGGCTAAGAAGGACGCTGGGGAAGAATCTGCTTCATGTCACTGATCTTGCCAGCCTGGTTATGATCTGCTGCCGCGGGGTGCTGCAGAATGCTCCTCCGTGTGGCGCCCTGAGCGCTGAAGTAGCAGAACCTCCGGGTACCAGGTATTGCATGTCAGCCGTGATGTGTGCATGGAGGTGTGCACACCCAGCACCGCTCCAGGGTCTGTGGTACATGTAACTGCACTCACTGGGATAGTGACCTCTTTCAGCCTTGTCACACAGGCTGCACTATCTCATCACTTGCAAAGCGCTGAGACAGACAGAATGGGGCCTTTGCCATTGGGTAACTTTATTCACCTTGCTGGACCAGCTGCTGCCTGTGATTACCAGTCAGGTCTGCTTAAGAAGACCAGTTGAGGGTACAAATTGGCTCAGGGCTCTGCTGTGCTCTCCTACACCCTGTTTCCGCTTACCCCAAAGACAGAGGAAGTCTCTCCCCTTTCCATCTTGACTATAAGGACATAGGAGGGCTACTGTGGCAGGGCTGCCTCTTCCTACCACTGTGGGATAATGGGGTGTGTGGGGGTGCTGTGTGCTGGTGTGTGCTGAGTATTTGCTCTACGTGCTGGAGAGTAGCTTGTAGCTGCCTTGCATCACAGAATGTCAAAAAGAGGGAGCAGATGTGTGCCCCTTTTTTATTACCCTTTGGGGTTTAAGGTTGAAAATTACACATTACAAGTTTCAAATATGCCTATATCCAGCCACATGGAAACGCCTGCCTGCAGCTAATGGGCATGGCCGCTCGGTGGCTCTCGGGGCTCAGCACAGTGCGCTGTGAATTCAGCTCCTGTAATTCAAGTGAGTCTCATTCAAGCTGCTTGGCTCTGTGGGCAGCAGGGCCATGGTGTCACCAAGGCCCAGGGAAGCGCAGTACAGGTCACGCTGGTGGTCCCTCTCCTGGAAGGGAAGGTCACTCCTTCCAGCCCCGGCAACGTGCCTGATTTTCGTGCTGCAGCAAAGCACTGGTCACACAAGGCTGAGGCTGAAAGCTTGACCTGGCCTGCATTCGGCTCAGAGCAGGGACTTCTGCTAAAAAAAACACAAATGTGTGGGCATGTGCCAAGGAGACAGACCTGGGTGGCTCAGTAGTGGTGAGATGAGCCAGCGCCACCGCTACGGTACTGCTGTGGGGAAGGCAGATGCACTTCTGAGATGCATTGGGTGAGACAGGGGTGTGGTTGCATCCCTTTATGAGACCTTGTCCCCAGACCTGCGTGTGGCCCTGGCCGCCCGTTTTCAGGAGAGGTGAGTTGAAGGTGGAACACGGACGAAGAAGGGAGAGCTCGTCCTGGAGGGCTGTTTACCGAGGAGGGGCTGGAGAAGCGGGGCAGACTGGGCTCCTGCCTGCACGCTTGCAGCTGCGGCACAGAAGGTGGCACGGATGGCTCTGTGTTAACAGTGTGTCCCAAACAGCCACCAGGCCACCTCAGCTGTGCTGCCACAGCAGAAAGAGAAATGCCCGCAACTCCCCTCCTTGTTCCTTGTCCTGTTCCCCCCTGTGTCATTAGGGGTGCAGTGTGGCTCCAGTCACCCTTTCCCACTCCCAAAGGGAAATTAGCCGCCCTTCTGCAAGGCTGTCATGGAGTGGCATCTGTGAAGCCTGTAGCTCAGTGTCTTTCAGCATGAAGCAATTGCTTAAAAGCAATTTCTCTTCTTGTTTGAATTTTCTTCTGCAGTGTCTGTGATCAGGGTGCAATTACAATCTTACAGCATCCCCACAGACCATGCAGCCTCAGGTTCTGGGTGCTGCCACCTCTCTTGAGGTGGGACTGTGGATTTCTCCCCCTCTGGACCTGGAGATTTGCGCTGTGGTAATTGCCCTTCACAGCAATTAGCTCAGCTGGTGGTCTGCTCTCTTGGGGTGCCCGGGTGGTCAGTACAATTTGCTCAGGAATAAGAGGGAAAACAGATGAAGCAGTAAAGAGTTTCTGCAAGGATCCAGCTTTGGGGCAGTCACCCTGTTCCTGCAGTTTCAAACAAGACACAAGTATTTCATGGTCCCCTGCAGGGCTGCTTCGAACCCCTGTCCTGGTTTCGGCTGGGATAGAGTTAATTTTCTTCCTAGTAGCTGGCATAGTGCTGTGTTTTGGATTTAGTAGGAGAAGAATGTTGATGACACACTGATGTTTTAGTTGTTGCTAAGTACTGCTTATGCTAATCAAGGACTTTTCAGCTTCCCATGCTCTGCCAGGTGCACAAGAAACTGGGAAGGGGTCACAGCCAGAATAGTTGATCCAAACTGACCAAAGGGCTATTCCATACCATATGATGTCATGCTCAGTATATAAACTGCGGGGGTTTGGCCGGGGAGCAGGGATTGCTGCTTGGGAACTGTCTGGGTATCGGTCGG